AGAGCGCCTCTTGCCTGGCTGTTCGAAATGGGGCAATGGCTGTTTATCTTCACACAGGCTTCAAGCTTGCCAGAGGCAGATCTTAGGCCTTGTCAACGTCCAGCTTTCTGAGAAGCTGGTGCTTCATAATGAATACTGGTACCCTTACACAGTCCTACTGTTTTGTAAGTGTGGGACATCCTGACTAACAAAGACAGGCTGGCCAAAGAGATGGTCATAAAAGAACAAACAGGACCAGTGAGTAGATCTTGAAGGTCATTTCCAAATACTAAGAACAACCTCTCTTCCAACATTATAATAGCTGTGATTGGAGGTTGTCTGTTTCCTGCTTATTTCTTGAGTTTCTAAGACTTTAACCTGAATGCAGTTCATTTATCCTGATGCCCCTTATACAGCAGGTGCTACCATTATCCTTAAATTGCCGAAACATGATTGAGGCATGGACAAGTAGCTTGCCTAGAATAGCATGGCTGGTAACCAGGGGGACTGAGTGGACCCAGACACATTTCCTGGGCTTGCCTTCTGTTGTTGTCCTAGAATGCTCTCATACTGCACTTGACTCTACAAGAATTTCCAAGCAAATAGCTGGAGATTAAGTTTGCCATTTAGAAAGGTAAATCTGTTAGTAGACTAAAGAGAAAATTAGACAATCAAAATACAGGACTCTGGAGACAGCTGAGATGAGACATGAGTGAGAAAAAACCCAGCCTAGACTAGCAGTCTTTGCAAAGGAAAGCAGTTGAGGTTCCAAAGCATGTCAACTCAACCATGATTTGTTTCTATTGTGTGAAGAGACACCATGACCACGGCAACTCTTATAAAGGAAAACATTTGATTGGGTGTGACTTACAGTTTCAGAGGTTGAGTCCATTATCATCATGGTAGGGAGCACGGCAGCATGCAGGCAGCCATGGTAGGAATAGCTGAGTCCTACATCTGCAGGTAACAAGAAGTTGACTGACTCTGAGTGGTATCCTGAGCATGGGGAACCTCAAAGCCCAACCCCTGGGATGACACACTTCCTCCAATGAGGCCATGCCCACTCCAACAAAGCCATATCTCCTAATAGTGCCCATTCCCTATGAGATTATAAAGCCCACTTACATTCAAACAAGCACATTTTGTAACTATTCTGATATCGGGGATCAGAGGGAAAAGGTAACCCCAGAGTGAAGGGAACTGCTGAGCTAGGAAGCGTGTTGAGGGAAGGAGGTCAGACAGATAGGGGGTTTAGGAAGTGAAGTTGGGGTAACCAACATTAGATCTTTGAGTTTTGATTGATTACAAAAGAAATTAGTGTCAGGGAAATACATTTGAGAACTGGAACTGCTTTGGGGAAGGTCATTCCAAGTTATCACTAGCTGGGCAATTTATAACCATAGAAATGTACTCTCTCACTGTTCAAGACTGAATACATGCTAGAAATCTCATTGTCAGCACAGCTATTCACTTATTTTTATTTGTTTATTTTTTGAGACAGGGTTTCTCTGTGTAGTTTTGGTGCCTGTCCTGGATCTCGCTCTGTAGACTAGGCTGGCCTGGAACTCACAGAGATCCTCCTGGCTCTGTCTCCCAAGTGCTGGAATTAAAGATGTGTGTCACCGCCTACCCAGCACAGCTACTCTCTTTAAGAGGCTTCTGGTAGAATCCATCCCCTGACTCTCTCAGCTTTTGGAACTTCACCATGCCTTGGCAATACTTGGCCGGGAGTCTCTTCACTACAGTCTTTGGCTCCCTCTTCTTCTTGCCTCCAGGAGTACATGTGTGTTAAATCCTCCACTATCTCTAACTATAAGCCTCTAACTATAAGCATGCTTTAATAGCACTTTCAGGCCACCCTGATAACCTGGAATAATATCCAGATCTCAACATCCTTATTTAGCTACATCTTCTGAAACATATTTTCTCAAGTGAGATAACGGAGTCCCGGGATTAGGAGCTAATAAATTTGGTTGCCCATTATTTAACCTACTATAAGCGTCATTAGAATATGAGATTGGTAAGGAAGGAGAATCATTGGCCAGGGTGGGAGATGGCAAATAGAAATCTCAGTGGAGAAGGAATTTAAATCCTGCTTTGATAATACATGAGTTGTCTTAGTCATTGTTCTGTTGCTGTGAAGAGACATCGTGACCACGGAAACTCATAAAAGAAAACATTTCATTGGAGCTTGCTTAGAGTTCCAGAGGTTTAGTCCATTATTACCACAGTGGGGAGCAGGGCAGTGCCCAGAGTGTTGGAGCAGCAGCTGAGCGCTACATTGTGATCTACAGGCTGCGAGATAGACAATGGCCTGGTGTGGGCTTTTGAAACCTCAAAGCTCAACCCCAGTGACACATCTCCTTCAACAAGTCCATACCTCCTAATCTTTCTAATCTTTCTCAAATAGTTCCACTCCATGATGACTAAGCATTCAAATAGATGAGTCTATGAGGGTCATTCTTATTTGAACCACCATATGAGTGCACCTAACTATGATGCCCAGCCTTTTGTACCTCATTTCTTCTGAGGTTAAATGCTGCAGTTTTTGAGTAGAAAATGTTAAGTGTATATTTCACTGAAGGTATGCAGGTTCATTTGTAGGCTGTAATTATTCAAAATAATATAATGCTTAAATAAAAATGTAAATATAGGAAGATAAATCCAAGACAAAATTACCCATAATCCTGTCATTGAACCAAGTCTTTAATTTCCATTATATAGCAGTTTCTAGTAACACCTACATTTTGGCTACAGTTCCATTGGTAGAATTTTCTAATCCATGGGGCTGGAGAGATGGGTCAAAGGTTAAAAGTACTTATTCTTCCAAAGACCAGGCCTCTATTCCTAGTACCAACACAACAGTTTACAACAGACTAATTGTAACTCCAGTTCTAGAAGGCCCAACGCCATTTTAAAACATTTTAAACCAACAAACAAAATGCCAGGCGGTGGTGGCACACACCTTTAATCCCAGCACTTGGGAGGCAGAGCCAGCCAGATCTCTGTGAGTTTGAGACCAGCCTGGTCTACAGAGCGAGATCCAGGACAGGCACCAAAACTACACAGAGAAACCTTGTCTTGAAAACAAACAAACAAAAGAACATTTTAAACGCAGTCATGACAGAGCTCCATTTTGCTACAGTCTTTCATCAAGTCCCTACTCCCCACCTTCTCCAAGCTGCTACACTGTGCTGTTGTTAGATGCACTCCATGTGTGTGGAGCTCCCTAATGTCGAGTCCGATGACACCTCTCATAATTGCAGAGGGAATCCAACTTTGGTATTAGCCCTGAAGGGTTTCTGGTGAGTCTTTCTATTCTAAACTTAAGAAGCTAATTCCCAGCAAGGTGAAAATAGATTCGCATGAAGGTACTTAAGGGGACTTCTCATAAAGCTCTTATTTTTAGGTAAAGCTTGAAATAATACTAGAGAGTTAAAATATGTTCTATATTCAACTTGTTTAACTTCCCACTTGATCCACATCGCCACTGTTGCTGCCCTCAGGATGAAATCCCACTCAGCCATATCTGCTTTGAGCTACATTGACATCATTTTCCATGGCATAAAATAACTGCTAGGATGAAGGCTTAGTGTCAGTCAGTCAGCTCCTACTTTACATAGAAGTGAGGAACATAATGCCAGGCTGCCCCACTTTTCTGCAATAAATAGCAATCTGAATATAACTGGAAAATTCTGAGACATTCTAGGAAAGCTATTTTTTTTTTGACTTGGTCTTTTTTTTTTCTTCAAGTAGACTTTCTCCTTAAATAACCTCATAGTCCTAGGAACATGCTTACACCCAGACTATCTCCTCCTCCTTCTCCTCCCCCGCCTCTCTCATGCATGTACACATGTACACACACACACACAAATTGGTTGAATTATCAAGTTGTGTTATAATCAACTTTTGTTAGGACATTTGAACTTGGTACCCCTGCATCCATCATCCCTCCACCCTTCCTCCTCGATATGAAGCTAACTTGAAATGGTCATTCTTACTTCTTGTCCCATGGAAAAGAAAATATAGACTATAGATACTGAGTAAAATCTAGAATACTGACTGTCTGCTGTAGAGTAAGAAGTTCTCCTCTGTGCAGTAACTTGACGATATCAGATTTGCTTAGGACCCACATAGATGTAGAGCTATTAGTGAGAATCTTGTGCCCACTGCTCAGTGAGCTACAGACTGACACAGTCCCACTTGTCTTTTGTTTTGTGTCTGTAATTAGAGAAAATTTCCTGATATGTGTAAGTTGTAGGCAATTATTTAACCCCACTCTGGCTCAATTTGATCATTCACTGATGAGAAGGGAGGTCATGGTGCCTCCTTCAATACCAAATGCCCCATGTGGGAAGCAGAAGAGTGCTCAGTGTGTCTTCCCAATGCTGTAACTCATTATTTTATGGAGCAGTTTCATCTATCCTGACTGTGCCATTTTACCAGGGTGTCTGTGGAGGCAGATTGTTCTGAGTCCCTATCCATCTGTAGAAACATTGACTGCACACATTTTCACGACCTGGTGCACACCCACCCTGCTTTACCCTGTTGTAGCAGTAGGAAAATCCAAGTCACCCAGTGAGACCATGTTACACACAAAGGCCTTTGGGAGACTGGGAATCCAATTAGACTCCATCGTTGATGAAGCCGGCTTGCCAGTTCAGGGGTAGGCATGGATCCCCAAATGACAGGAAGGCCCAGATTAGGAAACTGAGACGTACATCAGTTTCTCAACAAGCAGAGGGAAGCCAACTGCTTCTGAACCTCCAGGCCAGCATGCAAGTGGAGACTGGCTGGCACTGTGCTGTTTGCCAGCTTCCCCGAGGACGGTCTGACCTTTCCAGTTTCCTTCTCTGTTTATCTTTGCTGGGTATCTTTAGAAGCTGTGGTGCCAACCTAACAGACCTCAGCAGCAGATTCACTTTCAATTGCAGAATGGTCTGAATGAAGAGAGTTAAAGCTATTACAAATATCCTAGATTTAGAGCATAACTTAAAAAATAATAATCTTTATCCTCCTAGCACCCACTCCGCACATCTTCACACAAAGATCTGCCTCGAATTTGGAAAAACTGGGACCGAAAAAGGTAAAATATGTTTTACCCAGGGAGACTTTGAATTACCCTATTCCGAGTAATCCCTTAAGGCCTTAATTATATGACTTGAAATCTGCATTAATTCAATTAGCTACGCCATTGATCAAGTTAACAGTGCAGTCTATGCAAATGGACAATCTCCACCAAATCAGAATCAGAGTTCAAATTATATAAGGCTCTGGAGTAGTGATACATTATCTAAATTCTTACCCATAATAATCCTCTGATGCAACTATTAGAATACATGTTTATTCTGAAAAGGCACAGCAAGCAGTCTATTAATACAGGAGATCAGAGTTCAGAACAAGTAGATTCCCAGTGGCTGCCGAGCTGGCAAATGGCAGAGAGGGACCTTAAAGTCAAGACTCGCAAACTGCCATCTCGTACTCCTTCCAAGCCAATTCATTAGGAGAGAAGGAACAGCTTACCATGGATCTCTTTATGGTCATACAACTAGACCAGCTATAAATAAACATTTATCTATTTGGGGGAAAAGCCAATCCACCATGGATCAAGAGAGAGATTTGGAAGAGATTAGCTAACTATTGCGTTTAGCAATTTATCAGTACTGTTGAGACCCAAGCCTACTTGTATCAAAAATTGGTAAAATAAAATTTAGAATTTACTTTTGTTTCCTGAGACCTGGCCATATTTTCCCAAATTAGTTTATGGCTATAAGAATATCTAAATTCTAACTCAAGTATGTAAGCCCTTACCAACATAAAGAAGTATTTTCACTGATTCCAAGAATTTATCCTCACTGGTACTGAATATTAATATTATCCAATATTTTTCCAGAAGCCAAAAATGTAAGTTTTAAGGAGGAAGCCTATGAGAATACCTGAAACCAATATCCATTTCCCCAAATACTTCTTATATTTTAATAATAATGCCTCAGGAATAGATTAAAAGCAGGTGCTTGCTGGAGAAAAGTTGAATACAAAACAAAATTTACTATGCCTGAACATCGTCAGCCCATTGGTATTAATTTACTCTTAGAGGCACAACTTTAAAAAGTTAGATTAATTATGACAACTTGCTATAATCGGAATTACATTCTTGCCTATCTCTTGGCATGAATCTTTGCTTAGAGCTGTTCATGATTTTATATTTCAATTATGTTTGTTTGTTTGATTACATATAAGTGAAAAATAGTAAGAGCTGGGGGAATAACACGACCACCACTTTTTCTCTGTCCTCTTGTTGCAAGCTGTAAACAGCTGGATCTGAGGTGTAAGGAGTCACAAGGGAACAGGCAGGAAACAGGGTGGCTAAGGTACCCCCTTCCTCCCCCTCCCACCAGATAACACCTTTGAAATTACAACTCCAAGTTTACAGCGCAGGGTAATTCCTCGGGATCTACTCTTCTCATGGGTTCTACCTTTTAGTCCCCAGAAATTGCTCTTGGGATATCACCTTCATCCCCGGGATCAGAGTGATAGCACAAAGGACAGGCAGAAGGCCATGAGGGTGAAACCTCCTTTGCCTCTCACTTTGCCAAGATCATTCTTTCTCCCTCTCCCTCTCTCCCCTTCCCGCGCTCTCCTTCCCTTCCTCCCTGCCTTTCCTAATTGACATGCTTCTAATCCAGACACAGAGGTCATAACAGGAAAAGCAGAAACTTCAAACCTTTTAAATAACAAAGGAGAAGTCCTCCCCAAAGCAGCAATTAATAACCATCAACTATGGATCTATTGTGCTGGGACATAGGCAAAGGCCTTTACATAGAATCACCATGGATCCTTCACATGGTCCCATAAGACAAGAATTATTCAGTGGATAAAAACAGCAACTTGGACAGTTGGCTGACCTGTCCTGGGTCACACAGAAAGGACAAAGAATAAGAACTGGGACCTCCCCAAGCCCAAAGCCCATGTCCTTTTCCTCAGAGGGGTGTGTTGTTCTATAAAGGCCATTGTTGGATAGTTCATATTTATTATTACTTTCTCCCAAGCTCACAAGGAAAATCTGAAGTTTAGAAAAGATAAATGACACAAACAGTCAAATGCTTTTAATGCCACTGTGATACATACACACACACACACAGAGAGAGAGAGAGAGAGAGAGAGAGAGAGAGAGAGAGAGAGAGAGAGAGAGAGAGCCAGCCTCTCTGGCATTGAGAATATAGCAATACATCAAGCTTTGGATCCTGTATTCGTGGCCCCTCTACTCTGGCCAATAGACACATGCATGAAAGCCATAATATGGATACTGGGTATACCAATAGCAAAATCAGACTTAAGCTTCTGACAGCTAAGTTAGAAAGCCAGAACTTGAATGTATGCAGTAAGGAGAGGAGAGGATCATGTTCAGCTTTAGGTTAGGCTAATGTCTATCAGAATAGACACAGATGGATCATTCTAGATGAAAACCCACCCGAGGTCTAACATACTTGCCACACTGTCTTTCCCATTCTGTACCTCTTGGCTAATAAACCGTATTTTCTTTCTTTGGAAACAAGTCTTTCCCAGTGAGTTTTTGGGAAGCTCATAATGCCACCCCCAGACCTGCTGGCATCAAAGGAAGACATAGAAGCTCCAATCTGCTCTTTCCTTTCAGGCGTTCTAATTGGAAGTCCTGCCTAGGACACATGGCCAGAGCCAGGAGCCAAGAGATGAACAAAGAACACTTGCTCCCAAGTATTCCTTCCCAAGCTGATCTGGGCTCCTGTGCTCAGGGTTGAGATTCATCAATGCAAAGTACTAACTGGAGAAGGGTGAGCATGCAGTGAATGCCTTACCCCAGGCAAGCCCTGGACATGAGAAAAGAAAAGTTAGCTGGAGAGATTTTAGAAAAAATTAAAATAGAAGCTGAGAACTAAGAAAAAATGGAATAATGAAAACTAGTGGGAGATCTATACCTCCAAACCTTCCTGCCTAATGCCTTTCTAAGATTTAAAAATGCTGAGGGACACGAAGGCTCTTCATTACTAAACATGACACCCACAAATATGTTAAATCTATGAAGGCAATATGTACCCATTATGCCAAGAGCATTGAGACACAGTTTGGATCATGTAAGCCAAGATCTAATTGTAAACTTGTATGTAATTGTCTAAGTTAGGATTTCTATTGCTGTGACAAAATACCACAACCGAAACCTGAATTGGGAAGGAAAGGATTTATTTTATTCACACTTCCATAGTTCATCATCAAAGGAAGTCAGGACAGGAACTGGAAGAGGACAGTTTCCTGGAAGCAGAAACTGATGCAGAGGCCATGAAGGGGTGCTGCTTACTGGCCTGCTCCCCGTGGCTTACTCAGCCTACTTTCTCAAAGAACCCAGGACCATCAGCCCAGGGATGGCCCCACCTTCAGTGGCCTGGGCCCTCCTCCATCAATCACTAATTAGGAAAATGTCTTACAGCTGGATCTTATGGAGGCATTTTCTCAATTGAGGTTCCCTCCTTTCAGATAACTCTAGCTTGTATCAAGTTGACATAAGCCTAGTCAGCACAGTAGTCTTAAGGGCATACTGTCACTTCAATGGGCCTTGATTTTCCCTAACATAAAATGGACCACATAGGGTGGACTGTAGCCAGGTCCTTTCTTGTGCTGAAGAACTCATTTTTCTTTTTTCTTTTTAAACCAGTTCTGTCATTCTGTAAAAATGGCATGTTAAGCCGGGCAGTGGTGGTGCACGTCTTTAATCCCAGCACTCAGGAGGCAGAGCCAGGCAGATCCCTGTGAATTTGAGGCCAGCTTGGTCTACAGAGTGAGATTCAGGACAGGCACCAAAACTACATAGAGAAACCCTGTCTCAAAACCCTCCCCCTGCCCCCAAAATGGCATGTGATTAGTAGTGATAATGAACAGTTGGTTTGGATTTTGAACAGATTTTCAAAGGAACCCCTGATGGTGAGGAAGAAGTCCATGAACTGATGAACACTAAGATTCCTTCTGGTGTAGAAGTTCCTATGCTGGCATGTGGTTCCCTATTGGGAAATCAGAAAGTAGAGCTAAGGGAATCATTACATAGTTTCTAGAAAATTAGGCTAGGTCTCTAGCCAATGGAACTTTCCCTCAATATCTGGTCCACTGTACTTCTAGCTTAGGGAGGTCTTTGTTACAAAGTTGCACTTGCAATGGTAAATATCTGGGTTTCTGTCTCACTGACCCTCTTAAGATCACCATCTCCGCTCTCCGTAACCTTAGTCTTTCCCATTCCTCTTGGTCCCCAAAGAAGTACAAATCCAAGTTAGCATCATAATGTCATGTACTACACACTCCTTGGCTAATCTGAGTGATGCAATGTAAAATGTGACCTAGGAGGGCCTGAGGAGATGACTCAGCCAGTGAAATGCTGGTTGGACAAGCATGGGGACCTGAGTTTTGTCTGCAGCACCTACGTAAAAGCCAAGTATGGGCTACAATCCCACCTCTGACCAGCCAGCTCCAGGGATAATCTAGTCCATTTGAATCTGTGAGCTCCAAGCTCAGTGAGAGATTCTGTCTCAAAAGGTAAGACAGAAAGCTGCTGTGGAAGACCTCCAATATCAACGTCTAGCCAGGTATGGGCTCCATCTCATGGAACAAGCCTTAGAGCCAATCATGAAATGGTTGGTTACTCCCTCAACATTCATGCCGCTATTGTATTTTAAATTCCTGTTTTGTTTGTTTCTACCATAACTTTTATCCTTTATTTCTGTAAGTTTGGCTTAAGTTTGTTTAATGCAATGTAATCTTGTATAGTCAAAAGCCCTAAAGGTTGTAACAAAACTCTCAGAACTAATACAAAATTTTTTCAGTAAAACCGCAAGCTGCACAAGCCGGTAGTATATCTATATACACATAGTGAGAAGTATTGAAAGGAAACTTTAAAAACCAATTTACCACTATAATATATAATAAGTAAAATATATACAAATACATTTAACCATAGAAATAAAAATCTGTACAGTGAAAAATTCAAATATTCATGAGATAAACCAAAGAGCATACAACTAAATGAAAAAATAGCCTCTGTTAGTAGATAAGAAAAATCTATGCCTCCTATTTCTGTGGCTTGCAGCACTGGGATAGAACTGAGTCCCACAATTTGTCTTCCAACCTCCACACAGGTGCTGTGACACAAGAACACACATAACATATATAAAACATTAAAATAATATTACCAGGATTCATAAGGAACTTAAATTCAACATAGCAAAACCCTCGGATTTTCCCGCTTAAAAACAAGTAAATGATCTGAATACACATTTTCTAAATGCAAATGGCAACAGATACAAATGGAAAAAAAAAGCTCAATATCATTTTGAGTAGCAGAAAAATGAAGATCAAAATCCCAGTGAACTGCTATCTCAGTCTAGTTAAAATGGCTATTATGGACAAGGGGAGAGGTTCTTGGGAGATAGCTCAGTCAGTAAGATACTTGATACTCAAGCACAAAGACATAAGTTCAGTACCCCAGAAATCACTTTTAAAAGCCCAAGAATAACAAAGAGAGAGAGAGAGAGAGAGAGAGAGAGAGAGAGAGAGAGAGAGAGAATGCAACAAAAATACATTAGATTAAATTTTTTCGAAAAAAAAAATTAAAGCCAGATACAGCTGCTCAGCTCCTGAAGAGGTGATGGCAGGAGGGTGCCTGGGCTCACTGGACAGGCAGTCCAGCTCAGTCAGAGAGCCCCAGATTGAGGAAGGTGGAAGAGAGCTTGAGGAAGACACTTGACAGTGACTTCCAGCCTCCATATGTGTACACACACACACACACACACACACACACACACACACACACACACCGATTAGTTAGGGTTTATACTGCTTCAGTGAAAGACCATGATCAAAACACAAGTTGGGAAGGAAAGGGTTTATTGGGCTTACACTTCCACATTGCTGTTCATCACCAAAGAAGTCAGGACAGGAACTCAAACAGGGCAGGAACCTGGAGGCAGGAGCTGAGGCAGAGGCCATAGAAGGGTGCTGCTTACCGACTTGCTCTTCATGGCTTGCTCAACCTGATTTTTTATAGAACCCAAGACCACTAGCCCAGGGATGGCACCGTCTATAGTGGGATGGACCCTCCCCCATTGATCACTAATTTTAAAAAAGCCTTTCAGGTGAATTCTTTGAAGGTATCTTCTCAATTAAGGCTCCATCCTACCTCAGGACTCTAGCTTGCATCAAGTTGACATAAAACCATCCAGCATACCAATTAAGTAACTAGCTAAATAAAGAGCAATCCTAGTGAGGATGTAAAGAAAAGAGAACTCAAATTTTCTCTTTTGTTAACACTTTAAATTTTTTAGATTATAATACAATTACAACAGTTCTCCCTTTCCTTTCCATCCTCCAACCCCCCATATTCCCCTCCCCCATCCTTCAAATCCATGGCTTCTCCTCTCTGATATTGGGGTTTTTGTTAGGTGGTCTTTGGCTCTTGGAGGAAGTACCCCAAAACTATTCCCAAACAAATTAGAAATTCCTCAAACAAACAAACAGCCCATAAAATCAGAGAGTTACCATACAAACTAACAATCTCACTGCTGAGAATGCATCAAAGGAAATGAACTCAGCATATCAAAAGACATCTGGACTTCCACCCTTATTTGCTAAACAAAAATAGCCAGGTAATGGAACTATCCAAACTGTCGACAATGCATGAGTAGGTAGAGACAATATAATGGGTGAACATGCTAGAATATTATTCAGCCACAAACAGAATGCATTTTTGTGATTTGCAGCAAAATCCAAACACTTGGAGGCTGTTAGGCTCCCTGAAATAATTCAGGTTGAGGGAGTCAAACACTACACAATCCCCTTGACATATAGGACTGCAAGTAAGTTGAGAGTAGAGTAGTGACTACCAGAGATGGAGCAGAGAGAAACTTGGGAGGTGGAGAGCTGGTCCATGTTACTCTTAGTTGGGTGGAATGGGTTCTGGTGTTATGTGGCACAGTAGGCAGGGTACAGTTAGCAATAATGTATTCTCCATCTCCAAATAGTTAAAGAGAGGCTTCCTAAGGTTCTGACGATAAAGAAGTGATAAACATCGAAGGTGATAGATAAGATATGCTAACTATATTGTGTTGATCACTACCCAGTATAGGCACCAATCAAAACCATCATGTTTTACCTTGTAAATATATACAAGTCAACCCAAAATGAAATTCTTTTAAAGAAGAAGAAAAGCAATCAAACATCTCTCCTGATAATATGCATTTAAAGACTGATGGAGAAGAGTGGGAAGTCTGTTTGCAAATGAGTCATGAGGAGTCAAGCTTCCTCTAAGATGATTGACCCTCAGATGTTGTTATGCAGTATTTGGTTCCCAGCAGGGACCAGAGATTCTTCTATGACCCCAAGAACCCAGACATGGACAAACATGCATAAAATTTACATAGGAAAAGGAAAGGAAAAAACTTAAAAATGAAAGGAAATGTCATATCTTTGAAATTCTAGGAGGAAGATTTGTGTGATTTTTCTTTATTCTTTTTTTAAAAAATAGAATTTCATGAAACATAGGCTGGCCTTGAACTTGCTGCATAGCTAAGGGTGACAATAAATTCCTGATCCCCCTGCTCCCACCTCCTGGGATTATAAGTATGAACTACTATACCTAGTTTATATGGATCTGGGCATGGAAACTGAGGCAAGCATTCTACCACTGTCCATGTCCTCAGCTCTATTTTATGATGTCTTAATATATTCTTCCCCCTTAACAGTTCACTAAAAATTTCCTAAGACAGAAACAAT